TATACATATATATATATACATATATACATGTATATATATATAGATATATAGATATATAGATATATATATATATCATACTTGCCGCAAAGGGTAAATCGAGACCAGAGATATGTACACCTCTGGACAATACAACATAACCGGATGAACAAACCTCTACAGCAGGGTTCGGGTTTGTATCAACCAGGAAATTCAGTATACGCACCTACGAGCGTGCTAACAGAAACACAAGCTTGAAAAAGCTTGGAATATCTCTAAATTTCAATAGACCATCTTTTAAACTACGTGGCCTCACCTTGTATCGAGAAGACGGTCAATACCACATCTTTTGGCACATGCTTCGTTCATGATAGTCATTTGGGCGCCAGAGTCTACAAAGGCTTTCACACTGTGACCGTTCACCTTGCAGAGTATGTACAACATGTGGACCTACAGGAAAAAATGACGGCACAAAAAGAAGAGTTCATCAGCTATCATGAACGATATGCACATCGTTTCCATCACGGATTACGCGATTCGACAACCAAAATACTAGTGTCATACAGCAGAATGAGAGCTTTGAAGTTGTTCACACGGTGCAATCAGTACAATTCAAAGATCTCGACACATTGATAGAAGCTTTGGTAACTACTCTTACTCAAATTTTCACCAATTAAGCAAAATTCGGCTTGCAGATGAAAACAGGTCAACACATTAAAACCTAGTGCGTAATACTGTACTTGCAGCCTACAACAAAAACTAACACTATACACACCTGCGAGAAGGCCTCGGGATAGTGCTCCATAGCATGGTGCATATTTACAAAAGCTAACACTATACACACCTGAGAGAAGGCCTCGGGATAGTGCTCCATAGCATGGTGCATATCTACAAAAGTGAACACTATACACATCTGAGAGAAGGCCTCGGGATAGTGCTCCATAGCATGGTGCATATTTACAAAAGCTAACACTATACACACCTGGGAGAAGGCCTCAGGGTAGTGCTCCATAGCATGGTGCATATTTGCGTCGACTTCTTTCTGGCGCGCCACGTTATCCATGAACGCTTTGGCCTCAGTATCATTCGGATTTTGTGCCAGGCTGCAAAGATTTTACTACAATATATTAGGTCAATTGAACAGAGACACTAATCCTAAGCAACTCTACACGCCATATCGATGAAGACGGAATCTAAGATGATTAACAAATCTTGAATTTCAAAACACTCAGAAAAAAAAAAGTCTTTCCAAAGCTCTCTTCTCGCAATCCGATAGGGCATTGATACACGAGCATGCAACTATAAAGTAGACGCGACATGCATACGAATTGATTGTTCGCAAAAACCAAGACATGCACAAAAAAATACTACATATTCGAGTTCATCCCAACTCCCCACATACCGAGCCCTCATGTTCTTATCATCTGCCGCGCGTTTCTGTTGTGCCGCAATCGCCTGATTGAAATTTTCTGTGAATTTGGCCAAATCATTGGCCTTGACAGCGTCGGCGAGGACAGGTGCATTTTGGCCCAAATGCGCAAGTGCGTAGGGATCATTCTGCATGTGCCTGAACACAGTTGCGGGATCTTCGTTGTCCTGGGTACGGACAAACCAGGTCGGTGTGGTGATGATCTCGCCGGGTATAAGCACACTAAGTCTGCAATAGGTAAAAGTGAGATGTGAGCTACGAGGCCTTTAAGTCACACATGCTTCGAGATCTACACGGCTTTATGAGAGACTATTTAATTATATTATTAT